GAATTTCTCTCTTCTATAGGAGTAGGGTTTCCTTAAATACAATGAGAAGTCCTTACCAATAAGTGAGAATCAATTTGAATTTCACCTTTTTAAAAAATATATTTTTATTGATTTCAGAGAGGAAGGGAGAGAAATAGATAGAAACATCAATGATGAGAATCATTGATCGGCTGCCTCCTGATTCCCCCTACTGGAGATCAAGTCCGCAACCCAGGCATGTGCCCTTGACTAGAATAAAACCTGGAACCTTTCTGTCCATAGGCCAACGCTCTATCCACTGAGCCAAACCAGCTAGGGCTGCATTTAACCTTATAAATTAAGCATAATATATGGCATGACTCACTCCCACAAAACATGATTTGCAGTAGATAAATATGCTCCTAGTAACTTCACAAATGTTCAACTTTGGATTTATTATTTCAACTGTCTCTGGTGAGGGCATTTCATATGCTGATAAATCTCTTTAGTTTCTTTTTGTGTTTTAGTGCTGCATGTCGATGGAGTCCATAACTGTTAGATAAAACACATCTATCAGCAAAGCCTTAGAAACATTTACACCAAGACTTTAAAACTTGGCAGTGTTGGTGAATAGTAAATAACAATGACAAGGAGAGAACATAAAAATACAGATCAATTTAGTAACATATTGTCTCCAAAGAATACTTTTTTTAAAGTTGCCTGACCTGTTAAGGTAGACACATCCACACTCAGATCAATGCAGTGTGAAGTAGGAATCCTCAGGGTTTTGTAGAGCCAGACTCCCTTGCATAAATAGATTTTCCCTAATTTTTTTGTTTTGTTTTTTTTTTAATATATTTTATTGATTTTATACAGAGAGAAAGGGAGAGAGATAGAGAGTTAGAAACATCGATGAGAGAGAATCATCGATCAGCTGCCTCTTGCACACCCCCTACTGGGGATATGCCCGCAACCAAGGTACATGCCCTTGACCGGAATCGAACCCGGGACCCTTCAGTCCCCAAGCCGACGCTCTATCCATTGAGCCAAACCGGTCCCGGCTTTCCCTAATTTTTGGAATATAATCAATGTTTAAGCAATCTCTTGTTTCACCATGCAAGAATCATATACTTACTTGCCATTTCTCATTACTTCCCAGTTATCATAATCAATTCTACCTATGCTTCCACATCTGCTAAATTAACCATTTTGACCACTCATTTTGTTAACTATTTGTAAAATTTCCATCATAATTGAATTTCATAGAAACATGTCTGTTAAAATTTCAGATGAATTTTCACTCCTCAGTTCTATCTGTTTCTAACAATACCTACCTCACAGGTGCAAAGAGAATATTGTATGCCAGGTGCTATGTCCCTAGAAGGAACTCAAGGTTAGATTTCCCTTCTGGAATCTTTCTCAGTGAGCGGAGTCTCTCATGCCACACTCTCAGGCCATTGATTTAGATGCAACAAATGTTATTGTACATAGTTTAAACATTTTTCTTGTACACTTCCTACCAAATAGGGCCACACTCATAGATCCTGAGGTTTAGGACTTCAATATGCCTTTTGGAGGACAAAACTTAATCCACAAAACAATGACTCCCGCTATTGTCACTTTCTTTTGTACTAAAGGTCCTAACCAATGCAATAAGACAAGCAAAAGAAGTAAAAGATATAAAGATTAGGAAGGAAGAAATAGAAATTTTTATTCATAGAAGATATAGTTGGCTATGCAGAACTTCTAAATAATGAACAGATAAATTCTCAGAATAAGTTTTTAGCAAAGTTTATCTATTCAAGATTAAATATAAAATTAATTTTATTATAATAGCAACAGACAGTAGAATAAATATTTTAAAAAGAAATAATTTATAAAAGCATAAAAATCAAACACCTAGAAATCAATCTAATGAAATATGTGCAAGACCTCTAGGCTGACAACTATAAAATTTTTGATGAATTAAAGAAAACCCAAGAAAATGGAGGAATATTTCATGTTCATAAATTGGAAGACTCAATCAATATCACAAATATGCTATCTTTCAAAAATAATCTATAGATATAATGCAATTAAAATCAAAATTCCAGTTTATGGAAAGTAACAAGCTGATTCTCAAGTTTGTAGAAAAAGTCAAGAACAGCCAAGAACCTGTTGAACAAAGTGAGAGGACCTGTACCATTAAATATAAAGAGTTAATATATGCCCTCGCCGGTTTGGCTTAGTGGATAGAGTGCCAGTCTGTGGACTGAATCATCCTGCATTTGATTCTGGTCAAGGGCACCTGCCAGGGTTGTGGGCTCCATCCTGAGTAGGGGGTGTTCCAGAGCAGCCAATCAGTGGTTTTCTCTCATCATTGATGTTTCTCTCTCACTCTCTCTCTCTCTCTCTCTCTCTCTCTCTCTCTCTCTCCCTTCCTCTCTTAAATCAATAAAAAATATACTTAAATAAATAAATAAATGGTTATTATAAATCTATTTCATTAAAACAATGTGGTATTGGCACAAAGATAGACAACTGAGTCAGTGATACAGAATAGAGGGCCCACAGACCCACACATGTGTGGACACTTGTTGCATAGAAGAAGGAGCTTTACAGAGCAGTGAGGAAAGAAGCTTGTGCTGGGACAACTGGATAGTCATATGAGAGGGAAATTGATGGACCAAAAGTTATCCACACACAAAAAAAACCCAAACTATAAATTTCACAAACATAAATTTGAGCAAATGATTCCATTTGGATAAAGTTAAAACTAAATGATAGGGTAGTAAGTAATTATTGCATTTAATTTGGTGAAAAGAAAGTGCTAGTAATTGGGAAAAGTACAAGAAAAGTTTCTAAAGAGCTGACAAATATTTCATTTCTTAAGCAGGGTTCTACCTGTATTCACTGGTATGTACATTTACATTTTATGCACTTTCATTTATTTTTATTAACCTTCCCAATTAAAACACATTAAATTAGTTAGACATGTACATTCATTCAACAAATACTTATCTAGAAATCACTATATATCAGGCATTTTACTAAATCTGGGTCATCCAAAGGAATAAATACAGGTGTGCTCTCTGCTTTTGAAGCTATTATTGAACTATGATAGGACACAGACAAAAACAATTACAATAAACGCGTACAGTCACTCAGAGGGATAAGTGCTCAGTACTCTTAGCTTGCTACAAAAGGGGGATCCTTTCTTTGTTGGGGTTTGAGGCCATGAAGATAGACATTAGATCCTTCAGTGGATTGAATTATCAAAATAATTCAGAAGTGTGCTATCCACCCCTCACACGTTGAGGTTACTCCTTCTGTATAGAATAAGTCCAATGTAATTTTAGATGGACTCTTAGTTACATATAGGAATCCTATCTGCTTACCTGAGGAAAATCTTGGCTTGAAAGTCATGACACCAGCTCCTAAGAAAGCCAAGAGAATACTATTACTAAATTGTAGTTAATTTTGGAGCTATTATTCTAAAAAAAAAAAAAAAAGTTTTTTTTGAAGTCATAATTCAAAACTCATTGGGTTTTAAAAATCCTCACCCAGCCAAAAACAGTTTGGCTCAGTGGATAGAGCACTGGCTTGCGGACTGAAAGGTCCCAGGTTCGATTCCTGACAAGGGCATGTATCTTGGTTGAGGGCACATCCCCAGTAGGGGGTGTGCAAGAGGCAGCTGATTGATGTTTCTAACTCTCTATCCCTCCTTCTTCCTCTCTGTGAAAAAAATCAATAAAATATATATTTTTAAAAATCCTCACCCCAAAAATATGTTTTCATTGATTTTTAGAGACACAGAAAGAGAGGGAGAAACATCCATTGGTTGCCTCCCTATGCAGCAGACGGAATTTAACCAGCAACCTTTTGGTATATGGGAGGGAGGATGCTCCAACCAACTGAGTGAGCCACCTGGCCAGGGCAAAAAAGCACTGTTTTAAAATAATATTTTCTTGATTATAAAATACTTACTTACTTGAGCCCTGGCTGGTTAGCTCAGTTATTATAGGACTCTCCTCATACACCAAGGTATATGTTCCACCCCTGGTCAGGACACATACAGGAAGCAATCTATGAATGCATAAATAAGTGCAACAAATCAATGTCTATCTCTCGCATTCTCTCTCTCTCTCTCTCTCTCTCTCTCTCTCTCTCTCTCTCTCTCAAATCAACCAATCAATAAAATTTAAAAATACTTACTTGATTATAAAATACATCTGGGAAAGCAGAAAATTACAAGGAAAACAAAAATCCATAACTCTATCACCATAGCTACTGCAAATGTTTTCGGTGCATTTCTTTCCGTTTAAAAAAATTCCTCTATTTTCAGAGTTGAGATCAGAATTTCTGTGAGACTTGTGCATTCCCCCATGTCATTACATAATCTTCCTAAACATTATTCTTAAATGTGTAAAAAGTTACATCCCCCAAAGGAATCATCTCCAGGAGAGGTAATTCAGCATGTGTAGTCGAGTTAACCCATCTAGGGGTCTCAAAGTTCGGGGAGAGCGTCCAAAACCTGGCTAAGGGCTCTGATACCAAGTTGGAAGCTGGCAGAGGCTGCGGAGATTACCCCCAAGGCAGCTGAGGCTACAGACCGGGACTGGATTGCAGAGCCACCCCTCTCCCCCTCCCCTCCCCCCCGCCCACATCCCCACCCAGCAGCGCACAAATTGCCACGCGGACCGGAGTCTGGAGGACGCCTTTGCGTCCTCGCCTTGGTGCTGGGTTTAACAGGCGCCACGCGGTCAGTTTTGGAGGTGCTGAGCGCACCCCTCTGCTCCTGAACCCCAGCCAAGCCGGGCTCCGGGGCGCCGCTCCCGCCGCACCCTCTGCAGGAGCCGGGGCGAGTCCCTGTTCAAACCCCGGGACCAAATTTGGGAGGAGCGCGCCCCGGGTTCCGGTGCTGCCCGGACCGCCCCATCCCTACACGTTACCCCCCCCCCTCCAGCCCCCCCTTATCCGGGATCGCGCAAGCGCAGCCGCCGGGAGTCCTGCCGCGGGTCCGGAGCTGCAGAAGCGCCTGAGCCGCCGCTGCCGCCGCTGCCATGGGTTCAGGCCCCCGGCTGCCGCCGCCCCTGGGACTGTGCCTGGGGCTCTGCATGCTGGTGCTTTCCGCGGGGGCCTCGGGGGTCCGCAAGCGAGGCCCCACGGTGACGGCCAAGGTGACCGAGCGGAGGAGCCACTTCCCCTCCCGCTGGGCAGAGGATGGGGAGCTTTGAGGACTGGGGTCCCCGCGTCGGGCGGCGGGGGTGGGGGTGGGGGTGGGGGTGGGGGGGAGTGAGGGTTTGGGGGTGTGGGGGTGCAGAGGATGGGAGGCTGCGCTAGGGGATCGCCTGCGCCGGTGGTGGAAGTGCTGGGGAGGGCGCTCTCCCGGTGACTTGGGGGGCGATGGCCGGAGCCCTAGACCGCCCGCCGCCGTGTGTTTGAACTTCACCTCCCAGGTCGGTGGTCCGAGGGGCAGCTCTGGCCAGAAACTTCCGGAACCGGTGGGCCTCTCTGCCGGGAGGAGACAGCCCTGCACTTCCTTCGGCGGCGGCGTGGCGGGGACGGAGCTGGAGCAGGAAGAGCTGGGGAGGGACGGGCTGTGAGGGGGAGACGGGCTCCGAGCTCAGAGGGGGGGGGGGGCGCCGGCCGGCGGACGTCACCCACGTCACCCTGCAGGGCGAGCCCAGCTCCAGCCCCTGCGCGGCGGTGGTGTCCGGAGGCATCACAGACCGCGGGGGAGAGCCAGCCCTCCTTCCTTTAGGAACCTGGCCCTGGGGGGGGGGGGGGGGTGCTTGTGGGCTTCAGCGGCTGGAGGGCAGCCCCTGCCTGGGCTCGGGAGGTGCTGGCAGGCATAGGCAGCACTTGTATGAGTGAGGCCGGCCTTCTGTCTCCATTGGGGCGGGGAGAGGGGGATTTACCAAACCTGCCAAGGACTGCCCTCCTGGCTTCAGGTTTCCCCCCAGCATAGTTACCCGAGGTTAGAAGATAATGGCAGGGTGCAGGGAGAGACAGACGGAGGGGGCAGAAGGGGGTGCTTTGGCTGCCTATTAATTACTACTGTTAGAAAAACCTCCTGGAATCTGGAGAAGGGGCCGCTCAAGCAGTCTTAACCACCAGCCCCGCGTTCCACCGGGGAACCGGTGCTGAGGGAGTAGTAGAATCCTTAAATCTACCGCAGACCCCACCTGAGAGGGGGGAGGGGGTGTCAGAGGGGCTGGAAGGGGGAAGTTCAGCCCAACATCTGATGTTCCCTGAGAGAACCACAGGGCCTTGGCTGTCTGAGATAAACTTAGCCTGATTGTTCTCAGCGCAAATTCTACTCCCAGCCCCTTGATCTTTGGGGCTTACCTAGTTTTGGGAAGGGGCTTGAGCAGGCCACAGGGATGAAGAAGGGGATGGGGCTCTTTCAGTCTGCAAATATATTTGTGTCTCTTAGGATAGGGCCATAAACATAAAACTGATGAAATTGTGAAATGATGAAGGAAATAAACACCAATATGGATTGAGTGACGTTTAAAGATACCCAAAGAATAAGAAATCCAGCCTGGCAAAAACTTAGGGAGGCAGACTTCGTGCCTGGGCACAAGCCTCCAGACAGGAAAGCCACCCTCCCATTAAGAGGATGGACTGCCTGGGAAGGCAGCTTCAGGGCAGGGATGAGAGGGGCAAGGCTCCAGATGAGGTTGGAGCTGAGCAGCAGCCAGATCCTGCAGGGCCTCAGAGGTCACGGTTAGGAGTGTGGGTTTTGAGGCAATTAGTCTCCTAATTTGCGGTCTTATTCTAAGTGCAGTTAGAGCTGCTGAAGGGTTTTCAGCACAGGTTTGACAGGATCTCCTATGTGCTTTTACACAATTGCTGTGGTCGCTCAGTCTCCCGAGAGTGAACTAGCTGGGAGGCTATGCTGGGCTCCATGCCAGAGTCCAGATGGCGGTGGCTTGGATGAGGGCGGTAATGGGGGAAAGGGAGAGCAAGGAGGAACTTGATATAGATTCTGGAGGTATCACTAGACATGCTGACAGTTTAGAGAGGGGGAGAGGGGAAAAGGATTACGATTGCCAGATAAAATACAGGAGGCCCCTTTAGATGTGAATTTCAGATAAACAATGAAGAATCTTTTGGTGTGAGGGTGTCACCTGCAATCTTTGGGAGCAAGCTTCACCTGGGAAGCTTTAAACCTACCAGCGCAGAGCCTACCCCAGAGCACGGCAGTCACCACCTCTGGGGCACGGTGCCTGGGCTGGGAAACTAGAGGAGGGAGGGATACAGGAGAGGAAGAAGTGATGGCTGCAGGAGGGGGAGCTTGGGGCATCTCGGCCCCTGGTGCAATGTGCTGTCACTGAGGGAGTTTCCAGGTGTTCTATTCCAGGATTATGTAGGCAAGTCTTCCTCAGGTCCCACTCTGTTGAATTCAGTACATTCTCAGTGAACTTTTTAAAGCAGCAAGATCTACTGGGAAATGGAGACATTAAAAATGATTTCTCTGGGTGTGGAAAAGTAGATTAATTGGCCACTGCTCCCCTGTTTTCTTTTCCCTAGCAGTCAGTCTTTTTCTTTTCCTCTGATTTCTATAAGCAGGAATCTGTACATGAGGGGTGTGGTGCCGTCCGCCTAGGGGGCTCTTTAATGGCACTCACCTTGTCTCTGAATCCTGCTGTCAGGCCACTGCCTCAGCTGCCTGCCCAGCTCAGGTGGGGGCTCTGGCTCATTGGCCTCAACATCCACTGATGTGGCCCTTGCAGCCCTGGGTTTTCCAGCAGAGCCCTGGGCTCTGCAGCCAGGCACCCAGAGTGTAGAAAGTAATGCCGCCCCCTTTCCAGCTGTACTCTTCACAGCGTGCTGTGCTGGCACTTTCTACCTTGTGGTGCGGCCATGAGACTAAGGCTGGGTGACCTTGATCTTGGGCAGGTTATCTGATGGCTCAGGCTCTGGCTCCTTCTTTGTAAAATGGAGATGGAAGTGATATCTGCTCATGAAAGTTTTGCATCCTGGATGTGAGAGAGGAGGTAAAGTTATTAGTTCCTGATTGAAGAGCTTGGTTGTTAGAGTCATTGGTGTTATTAATTCCCCTGCAGCAACGCAGATCTGAAGGGAATTGTCTGTTGTACAGCTGAGGACCAAGAACTCGCAGCAAGTTAGTGGTGGAGCTGGGTTTCCTTGACATCACAGCTCACTTTACTGTGGAGATGGAAGAAGATTAACCCTACAGGGGTTTGGGTCAGGCGACCTGAGTGCCTATTCACTCCTCCCTCACCGCTCCCCACCTCCAGGGCCCCATAATGTCCAAGTCACTTTCGAGGGGAAACAAGAAGTGACTGAGATGCCACTCCTAACGTGCAACATGGGATCCAAGTACCAACTCCAGGAAGCCTGTCCTGGTCCCTGCAGATAATCAGCACCTTTAACCCTATTTTATCTGTACCCGTCTTCTGATAAAACTCTATTTCCTGTTATACTAAAGCTGCTGGCATATGCGCTTTCTGTTCTATGGGACTGGAAGCTCCATTTCCATCAGGGTTGGAAGAACTCTGCTTTATTTTCTTGCCTTCCATCACTCATGAAGTTAAAGGATACCGCAGTTTGGGAGGAAAATGTATTAGTTTAGGGCATCCCCAAAATGTAGACACACATTTGCAATAGCTATAAAGGCAGTGTTTGTTAAAATACATTTAATTTTCAAAATTGAGCTATCAGCTGTTCCAGTGTATATACAGTTTTGGGGGGCTCCCTGTATGTGTGCTAAGCTGAGTGTAAGACAATAAGATTTTTACTGAGTTATGCTGGTTGAAAAGCACTTCTCGTCTCAGGCTCCCCAGATTTTATTTTCTTTGATTTCTCAACATTTGCAGGCTTTATTTGTTCCTCTTTATTTATTTTTTATTTATTTTTTTAAAATATATTTTATTGATTTTTTTACAGAGAGGAAGAGAGAGGGATAGAGAGTTAGAAACATCAATGAAAGAGAATCATCGATCAGCTGCCTCTTGCACACCTACTGGGGATGTGCCCACAACCAAGGTACATGCCCTTGACAGGTATCAAACCTGGGACCTTTCAGTCCACATGCCAACGCTCTATCTACTGAGCCAAACCGGTCTCGGCTCCTCTTTATTTTAAAAGTCTGGCAGGGTTTTCTAGTATCGTATACAGTATTTCTTTAAAATTATGTGTCTGACTCTTTTCCCGGTGCTACTTTGTTATAGCCCCTGAAAGAATTTACTCCTTAGCTTGGAAATCCCTTTGGAGAGACTAGCCCTGTGGGTTAAGTCAGCCTCACTGCATTGCTCTTCTCTACACCATTGCCTCAGCTCAAGGTCTTCCGTGCATGCCTACAGTTACACCAGATAAATACGAACACAATGTGTGCTGCTTTGCCATGTGAAAATTGTAAAACACCACATGGAACACTAACTATCACATCACTCACGGCAGACGAGCTGATGCATTGGCAGAAGCTCTTATCTTGAACTGAAAGTGGACAGTCTTTACTTCGTGATTTTTTTCAACTGTAAGACATCCTTTTTCTTTGACAACCCTTCTCATATTTTTTAAAGCCATCTCTTGAATGTCTTTTTTCCCCCATCCATTCAAACATTAAATTGGTTCATATAATCTAAACTTGCTAATAGAATGCCCTTCGACTCCATGGCCTTTTCAAGTGTTCTGTCTCAGAATCATCTTCACACAATGATTTGTGAAGCAAAATGTATATAATTTCATTTCAGTTGAAATGTGTTTGTTTGTTTGTTTGTTTTTAAACTCCAAGTTTATTTGCAAAAAGAGCGACTCACACTTACCTCTGGATAGGTGTTTTTTTCTGTCCTAAAATGTTGGGACAGTAAAAGAACACATGTCATGTGTTGAAGCATGTCACACTTGTGGCCGGTGGGCCCCTAAACAAGGCCCGCAGCCGGCCGGCTGCTAGTGTGACATGCTTGGGAAAGGTTTTGTCGAGACCGAGCATAACTTGTGCTGTACCTTGGGCGAGGCTGAGGACCTGGTGCCTTTCTGCCTTGGGGAGGACTGCCGTGCGATTTGGTCATCCCCTGCAGTCCCCTTGGTTGCAGATGTCTATTGAGAATGCATTGGGAATGTGGCACTGTTTGAAGTTTCAAAAATTAAATCTGGATGCTAGCCTGTTCATCTCCTCAGCCATTTTTCTTCTTCTGCCAAGATGAAAGAGCATTACCTTTCAGAAGAGGAAGTTCCCATTCTCACCTTCACCCACAAACTGGGACACAGGAAGGAGCAGCAGTTCTTGTCTGGGTGTGTGGGGAAGTGGAATTCTTGAAGACTTTACTGGCTCACTCTGACAGTATTGAGTCCAATGTGAAACCCAGAACCTACCACAGTGCCTAACCCTTAGGTGGTGCTCAATAAATGTTTGTTGGATGAATATGTGCGAGCAAAGTACACCCAAAACATGGAAATAGAGTTCCTATAACGTATATCATGCTCCTTCATGACCCTTCTGTAAAACACTGGTGGGCAGGGCTTTCAGATGGGGGTCCATTCACAGATTTTCATCTTCACTTACCTTGTATACCCGGCGTTTCCATGTAACCTTCTGCTCTGCCTTTCAACCACACGCAGGTTTTCTTTGATGTGAGGATCGGAGACAAAGATGTTGGCCGGATAGTGATTGGCCTCTTTGGAAAAGTTGTGCCCAAGACGGTGGACAATTTTGTCGCTTTGGCCACGGGGGAGGTATGTCTTGGCTTATTTCCTTTGTGCACAAATCGGAACTTCCTTCTCTTAAATCAAGATAAAGATGGCTTCTGGGGAAAAAAGGACTTAATCAGTAGGTCAGGTGGACCTGAGACATCTTGCAATATGTTACCTCATTTTTGTATGAAATCTGTATACTTCAGGCCCTCGGCGTCCTTGGGCTTCTAGAAATACCAAGTGAAAATGCAGACTGCTCTCGTTTTATTTCTTCCCGTTAATACTTTACTTCCATGGCTTGTTTACTTACATTTATTGATTTGATTGGTTAATGTTAATTTCTAACAGTGTATTATTGCAGAGGCCTAGTCAAGTTCTGTAGGTATTTTGTATAATTCTCTTGTTATTTTCAGATAAACACTGGGGTTTATCTTTCAGTATGGGTTATATCTACTTATATATTCAATTGACATAATCTCTTTAGAAAGGATATGGATATAAAGGAAGCAAATTTCATCGTGTCATCAAAGATTTCATGATTCAAGGAGGAGACTTCACCAACGGAGATGGCACTGGCGGTAAATTGTCTTTTGTATTTTTCCTTTCCCACTTAATAAACTGAAACCTAGCATTAAGCCAGTATACTCACCTCGTGTATTGAGTTCTAAGATTTAAGGAACAAAATCGTAAAGTCCACCAAATGAATTCTTTAGGAAGGATAAAGGATAAAGTTTTGGAGGCCAAATGTTGGTAGATAGGAATGAGCAATGCCTTCTAATTTTAAAAAGTATCACTTTGGTGTATATTATCTTTTCTTGGTTGAAATATGTCCATTTGGTAGACTGTTTTTAAAATGCTAGACTCCTGGTATATAGCAGTACAAAAAGCTGTCTGCCACGGAAAGGGAAGGCAGAATATAACCCTGTGTATTTGGGGGTAGCAGCTGGCTACAAATTGGATGTTGGTGGAAGAGGACTGGGGGCATCATTTTAGAAGGACGAGATTGGCATTTAGATGGCAGGATTACAGGTGAATTGGTGAATTTATCCCCTTCTCTCAAAATTCTTTCATTTCATGTCAGCTTTTTTAATACTAAAAACTTAATAGATGAGTTGTTAAAATTATAATATAAATTAATTTTTATAAATAAAGTTAGAGTTCTATAAAGTATTATACAACTAATTAAATTTATAGACTTTCAAATCTCCCTGACCATTGTTTCTGATGGAGGATTCCAGTTACCCAGTTCCCTGGGCTATTTTCCTTCAGAAAAATAGTGAGTTCCTTTCCTGAATCCACGTGGTACATACAACGACACAGAATTTAAATTTACTTAAGACTTTTAATTATCAAATGCTGTTTTGGTGGATATTAAACTGCTAACTTTTTCAAGAAACCTAGGCTATTTTCCAGCACTATTGTTAATTGTATGTTTATTGCAATGGTTTATTTATAACAAAATGCCTACCATTACATGCTTGAATTTCCCAGGCACTTCAGGAAGATTACCTTTAGCCCTTGCAAAAATGCTGCAAGCTGCGAGGATGTAGCATGAAGTGGGGAACTTGGGTAAATGAGGATGTGCAGGGAAGGGATCCCAGCTGCTGTGGAGCTGGGTCTCACTGGAAAATCCTGCAGCTCAAGAATCAGCAAACCCCTGCCCCTTCCGCACTATCTCCTCCTGGTCTGACATCCCACTATCCTCCCCAAGGGCCCAGCAGGAATGGTGACTGGGCTTTACTGTGTCTCCTTTCTATATTTTTCTTTCTCACTGCCTTCCCTGCCCAGTGTGTGTGTGTGTGTGTGTGTGTGTGTGTGTGTGTGTGTGTGTTTGCACGTGCGCGCTCAGCCTGCAGGTGCAAGTGTGTACATACATGAGTTGAATTAAAATTCTTTGAGTTTTGGAAACAGGACCTGGTGGATCACTTAATTTAGCCTAAACTCCTCTGTGGGCAGAGCTTTCCTGCCAGGTCACCTCATATGTCACTGATCAACCAGCTTGCCTTTGATATCTGCTTCTGGTCCTAACTAAGCCAGGATTTTAGGGCTGGCAGCAGATGGATAGGGAGCCCTGCAGAAGGGGAGAGGGTGAGCATGATAGGCACTCACGGTGTTGGAGGATGGAGCACATCCTTCTCATGGTCTGTGCCTTTGTTTTATGAGGGAAATGTGTTCTGCTCTACCTGCTGCTTTGCTAGAACTTCAGCCCGGGTGCCTGCCTTTTGTCGTTCCGTTCAGGTTGGATCACTGGGTGTTCCCAATCGCCATCACCCTCTGTATTTTGACGAGCCTGACGTCATTGTGCCTAACGACTTCCAGGCTGGCTGCTCTGCTCTCAGTGCTGAGGCAGCTAAGAGCACCTGCTCTAGAGTCAGAAAGCCAGGTGGTCACGTTCTGTTCTGCTGTTTTCAAGTTTTATAACCTGGGTTTCTCATGGCGAACCAGGATTGAGAATACCTATTCTTTGAGAATTAGCTAAGAGTATTGGTTACTTAGTGTACTCTGGTTGGATACTGAAGTAGGAGTGACCCAGGAGAGGGACCCTGGCCATCAGGACAGAGATTGAGCCATGAAATGGCTCATCCACCTTTCAAGCTGGCTTTACTATTGCCCTTCAATCACTTTTCCTTTTACAGTGAGATCACTGCACTAGCTGGTCAGGGTTTGGCCCTTGGTTTGAGGCCAGAGGGTATGCTGCCATCCTGTGTCAAATTTCAGGCTTTTGTTTGTGTATGTTGGTTTCCATTCCCAGTGACCTGCTTCCTTAAGGAATTATTTTATGCTCCCTTTCCTTTCTCCTTATGTTTTACCATCTTTTCCCCATTTCCCACTCTTACCGGGTCTTCTTTACCAATTCTACTAAAACCTCATGTTTCCCTTTGAAGAGCTGACTTTCATATAACATCTGTTGAATCTCCCCTTTCTTGTTCTGTCTCACCAGGTATAAGCATTTACGGCGAGACATTTCCAGATGAGAACTTCAAACTAAAGCATTATGGCATTGGGTGGGTCAGCATGGCCAATGCTGGGCCTGACACCAATGGCTCTCAGTTCTTCATCACCTTGACCAAGCCCTCCTGGTTGGACAGCAAACATGTGGTATTTGGAAAAGTCATCGATGGCATGGTAACTTGATATATTGTTTTTCTCATTCAAAGCTTTATATTTATAATGAGAATTTTCAATGAGTATTTTAATGGTGCTTGTTCGAGATCCATTATTATAAGAGGCTGACTGGCCTTTTCAGAGGTGAATAAATTATAAATGGTATGGCATTTTAATTGTTAGGAGCATTGGGGCAGAAACTGAGGACTTGACATGGAGAAGTTGAGTACTTAAGTTAATATATCTCATTATTTGTTATAAATGGAAACTCTTTTTAAGATAACCAAATAAAACTAGGGCCCTGTGTATGCATACAATGGAATATTGTTCAGCCATAAAAAGGAAGGAAATCCTGTCTCATGCTACAACATGGATGAAACTTGAGAATGTTAAGTGAAATAAGCCAGTCATAAAGAGACTGAATGAATCTACTTATATGAGGTGGTATCTAAAGAAGTCAAACACATAGAAACATAAAGTAGAATAGTGGTTGCCAGGGGTCACAAGGAGGAGGAAATGGGGAGTTAATGTTCAATGGGTATACAGTTTCAATTTTGCAAGACGAAAAAGTTCTGGAGATTAGTTGCACTACAAGGTGAATATATTTAACACTACCGAACTTGATTCTTAGGAATGGATAGGATGGTAAATATCACATTATGTGTTTCTTACCACAATAAAAAAAAAAACTAAACTAAAAAAAAAAAACCAACCCTAGTGCCCCATGCGATTCAGTCGAGACACAAGTCACCTTTAGAAACACACAGGATAGCATTTAATATTACTAAAGAGAATTCAAATTTATGCTGCTGACTCAAAAAAAAATATCAAAGGCGCCCAATTCATAATCCATAAGAACACTTTTAAAGTCCTCATTCTTTTCACTTTCAATATTTCTTCTCCTTAACAACTGCCCAAAGTAGCTCTCTCAACTCTCAACTATTGTAAGGTCTGCCAATACCCTGGACCTTCCTTGTCTTCTCCCATACTTTATTTGTTTTGTTTTCCTGTGAGCTGTTCTGCCTCCCTCATCCAAACCTAAACAAACCAATCTCACTCATTGCAATTCTTCCACAACTTCCACCTGCTTTTCTGATTCTACCCAACGGAAAGCCAGAAGTGAGCTGGCCAACTCAGAAGCTCCTTTATAAGGAAAGGAAGTGCCCAACCTGAGCTGTCAAAGATAGAATTCTCATTAGTGGGATGAGTGGGGAATAGGGCACATACATTTCCCTTAATATGTCACTTCACATCCCATCACAATAAAGGACATGCCTACATTCTCATGAGCCATAACTGCCCTGAAAGAATATAGTCTTTTCTTTTTTATATATGTTTTTAATTGACTTTTTAGAGAAAGAGGAAGGAAGAGGGAAAGAGAGAGAGAGAGAAACATCCATCAGCTGCCTCTTGCACACCCCATACCAGGAATTGAGCCTGAAACACAGATATGTGCTCTTACACGAATCGAACTAGTGACCTTTTGGTACATGGGACAATGCTCAACCAACTGAGCCACACAGGCCAGAATCTAGTCTTGAATGTCATCACTTTTCCAATCTCCGATTGAACTTTGCTTTTGAATAAGCTAAACATGGGCATGCATGTGTTAAATGAGTTTGGATGTTTTACTACTGAGCCTAACCAGGTTCTAAATAATTTAAATATAAACTGGTATATTCATCCATTCAATGAATATTTTTTAATGCCACATCATGCTAAGCTGTAAGAAAAGTGAAGAGTACAAGTTTTGGGTGCTCTTCTTTGGTCATGGTTTTTCTTCCAGCCTTCTAGGTCTTATGTCTTATTGCTCTAATTGAAGCAACAATTTCCTTCTCTCTGTTGGTATGTTGCCTGGTCTTAAAGGAAAAGTCCTTAATATTTTATGGGTTATAATCTTTAAAAAAATTTTTTTATTTTATTGCTTAAACTATTACAAAAAATAGTACATGTCTCCTTTTTTCCCCCATTGATTTTCCCCCAGCCTTTCCTAACCCCCAATATCTTGTATATTATGCTTATACAAGTCGTTAAGTTTATCTCTAAACCCCCCACCCCTCCGCAACCCTTTCCTGCCTTCCCACTGTAGTTTGATAGTCTGTTCGATGCTGCTCTGCCTCTGTATTTTTGTTCATCAGTTTATAATGTTCTTTATTATCCATAAATGAGTGAGGTCATGTGGTATTTTTTTTTTTCATTGACTGGCTTATTTGATTTAGCAAAATGCTTTCCAGTTACATCCATGCTGTTGCAAATGGAAAAATTCCTTCTTTTTTTTTTTTTTTTTTTTTTTTTTTATAGCAGCATAATATTCTATTGTGTAGATGTACCACAGTTTTCTAATCCATTCATTGCTGATGGGCATTTAGGCTGTTTCAAAATCTTAGCTATGGTAAATTGTGCTGCCATGAACATAGGGATGCATATTTCCTTTCTGAATGGTGTTTCTAGTTTCTTGGTATATATTCCTAGAAGTGGGATTACTGGGTCAAATGGAAGTTCCATTTTTAATTTTTTGAGAAAATGCCATACTGTTTTCCACAGTGGCTGCACCAGTCTGCATTCCCACCAGCAGTGCACGAGGGTTCCTTTTTCTCCACATCCTCTCCAGCACTTGTTTGTTGATTTGTTGATGATAGCCATTCTGACAGGTGTGAGATGGTACCTCATTGTCGTTTTGATTTGCATCTCTCGGATGATTAGTGACTTTGAGCATATTTTCACATGTCTCTTGGCTTTCTGAATGTCCTCTTTCAAAAAGTGCCTATTTAGGTCCTTTGCCCACTTTTTGATTGGATTGTTCATCTTCCTTTTGTTAGGTTGTATGAGTTCCCTGTACATGTTGGAGATTAAACCCTTAAAAAATTAATGAAGACCATAGACTTTCTCTCCAGGAAAAAAAAAAAAAAAAAAAAAAAAAAAGTGTGTGTATGTTTCATACAGTTTCAGGAAATGGGGGGAATCTCCACCCTTTGATTCTCCAAAGATCGTCTGGGTTGTGTTAACAAAGTGACCCAGATGGTCTCTAGATCTCACCTCAGAGCTGCAGCAGAACCTCCAGAGGTGGGCCCACAAATAAGCATTTTTAAATTGTGGCAAAATATACATAATATGGGAATTTCCATTTTAACTATTAAATAAGCATTTTTTTTAAAGTGCCACAGGTTGTTCAGATGTGTAGTCGCTGTGTTAGGTGCACATGTGTGCACACACAGTCTATTTAGAAATATATATTATTAGAAGAATGCCGGCCTTTTATTTTAAATCGATCTAAGTCAGCCAGAGGTTGGAATGTCCCAGGCACTCAGACTCTCTGTTGCTACTTGTGTCTCAACCGTGTTTGGGAAACACCAGAAGCTGACTTCCCCAGCCCTTGGCCAGGCCTCCCTGCTTTCATGTGACACGAGGTGGTATGTGGGCCTGCGAAATCTCTGTGCATCACTGTGGGATTGGGGTTACGTTAGTATTAGACTCAACTATGGATTAATGGCTTGGGTCAGGTGTTATTTTAATAAAAAATTTTTTTATTGATTTCAGAGAGGGAGAAACATCAGTGATAAGAGAAACATTGATTGGCTGCCTCCTATACACTGGGGATAGAGCCCACAACCCACAACCTGCAACCTGGACATGTGCCCTGACCAGAAATAGAACCTGCACTCCTGATTAATGGATTGATGCTCAACCATTGAGCTACACCAGCCAGGCGACTTGGGTCATTTTTTAAATGGGCAAACCCAAAACAAGCTCTCCTTCTAAATTTGGCCCATTTGATGATGCCTAGACCTATGACAAATGGAGTTGAAATGGACTCAAACTTCATGTTTACTTTTACTTAGGGTTATAATGAGTAGAAATATCTTTAATTAGAGGTAGGCGTTTACAACAATAGCTTTTTCCCCCCAGAAAATAAAATGCAAATAAAAAGAAATGAGGAAATAGATAAATATGTTCTCTAATCATTAAGGTAGTGGATCAGTTTTATTCTTTAATATATAAATTTCCTGAATATTCTTAGTTAGCTTGTATGGTTTTGTTATCATGGGGGGAAAAAACAACTTACTTCCCAATTGGGCTTTTAGACTTGGCATTGACTTCACTTTTGATTGCCATTCTTGCTGGTCAGAGTGAACCTTGTGTCTGTTTTTCTCTCACCAGACAGTGGTCCACTCCATAGAACTTCAGGCAACTGATGGGCATGACCGCCCACTCACCGACTGCACCATCGTCAACAGTGGCAAGATAGACGTGAAAACACCCTTTGTGGTTGAGGTCCCCGACTGGTAATGCAGCTGGCAGGAAACAAGGAACATACTCTATCAGGGTGTGCATGCATGTGTGCGTGCGTGCATGCGTACAGGTCTTTGGATTCTTCAAAGTTACTGTTTTGCTTTGCCTTTCTACTCTTCTGTTTTCCACTCCAGATCACAGGAGAGTTATAAAAATCAACCAAAGCTTATTTTGCATGAATTTTGTTAAATCACTTGTTTAGGGACTTTGTACTTAAAAGACATATCCCCTTCCTTCAATGGTGCTATTTTTAACTAGAAAACTTCGTATTTGCTATTTTCTTTTAAAGAACACAATTGTTATTTTGCTGAATTAACTGTGATCCCGCGTTAGGTGATACTGAAGATTTGACAGGAAAAGATGGGGTCGTGAAGTGTATTATTTTGTATTTAAACAGAATTCGTTTTAGGTAAAGGGAGATTTGGTTAGTATAATCTGATATATGACATAGGAACCTTTACCTGATGCAAGGTGCTTTGATGTTCTCTGTATTAAATACTTTTTATATAGATCAACTCTTTTTGCAAGACCTTTTTTATTAAATTAAAAATTATTTAAAATTTAATGTACAAAAACATACTCTAATGTTAACAATGAATGGATTGGAGAGGGTTCTATTAATCAGAATACTAAAATAATGTAATAATTTGGGGTGAGAATGCACAGAAATGATGCCCATCCACATTCCAAATACTTGAACCGATTAGTCCCTAATTTTTACTAAATGCAACGTTTTCAGAAAGGTCCCTTGAGTCCAGTGGTGGCAAAAAGGAATCTTTTTTACTTAAGTGAGCTGAGAAAGTAAAATCCTATTGGGGCCTTCTTGTGACACTCCTGGCCGTAATGGCCTGTGCCTGCTCCTGTTCACATGGGAATGGTGTCTTGTTAGAAAATAGCCTATTGCTTCCTCTCTGGGTCCCATGCAGTGAAGGTCCAAAAATTCCATCTCTTGAGCTGCATTAAAGAAAAGGGCTTCAAAGAGAGATGAGAGGAAATGCACACTCTGACTGCTGATGGGGGGCTAATCCCCACAGCTCTCTGGAGAGGTCAGGAGGGCAGTGATGTTCCAGTGGCCAAGGAAGGCCTCCTGCGGGCACATTCGAGCTGAGGGCCAAAGGAAGAGCAGGCGCTGGGCAGGCCAGACCTACATTCAGCCCCGCTAGGCAGAGAGGGAAGGGAAAGGTGAGGGTGCTGAGGTGAGAGGGAGTGGGCTCCCTCCAGAGCAGAAGCCAAAGCTAGCATGTTGCATCCTGAGAGGTCAGAGGAGTCAGGCTGAGGCTGGGTCATGCCGGGCCTCGGGGCCAGAGTAGTCACAGTGGAATGGGGAGTTACCAGTTTAAGCTGGGGAGGGGAATGATGTGGTCTGCATTGGACAAAGATTATTGTTAAAGGGAGCTGAAGTGCATATCAAGAAACTCAAAACACTCCTAACTTTTGAAGTCCCAGTCCTGGGAATTTGACTTAGAAAGTGATCTGAAGTTGTGTTGAGCATCATCCTGTGTTCCTGGGATGGCCCCCATTCTCTTTGGGGGAATCACACCATTCCCTCAAGCATTTCTTGTCCTTGGTGTAGGCTGACCCTATGGATAAGTATGTGCCTAGCCTGGCCAACTCATTCATTAACTATTTTTTTAAAAAAATACATATTTTATTGATTTTTTTTTTTACAGAGAGGAAGGGAGAGGGATAGAAAGTTAGAAACATCAATGAGAGATAAACATCAATCAGCTGCCTCTTGCACACCCCTACTGGGTACCTGCAACCAAGGTACGTGCCCTTGACTGGAATCGAACCTGGGACCCTTCAGTCTGCAGGCTAACGCTCTATCCACTGAGCCAAACCAGTCAGGGCTCATTCATTAACTCTTGATACATATTTACTGACGGCTGAATACAGCTGCAGTGTCAGCCCTCATGGTTCCCAGGGGAGGAGACAAGTAATTCACATGTATGCCACATGAATATATAGCAGAGCATCAGGTGGTAATAAATCTATGAAGAGAAATGGAGCAGGCAGGAGGATAGAGAGTGGAGAGGTGATCCCCAAAGTCCCTGAGTGTGAGTGGGTAGTAAGCTTTGAGGGGTAGCAAGGATGTGAGTGGGTAGTAAGCTGCAAGAACATGGGGGGCAGAGGGGACCAAGAGCAGTGGCTCTGGGTGAAGGGCAGACTGGTGAATTCAAGGAACAGCAAAAAGTCCATGAGTGCAGCGCCAGGGTGTGGGGAGTGAGGTGGGAGAGGGAGCAGGGTTGTCCTATTGGCCAAGCAGAGCAGAACATTCCCTCACCCTGACCTGGCGACTGGCTGAAGGATAGGTGTTTAACCCCAGGGGTGCTAGCGAGCCTCCATCGTGGGACTTCTGCTGGAAATTCCAGGAAAGAGCTGCTGTCTCTTCTGTGAGGACGTAAAAGAGCAGGTCTGAGAATAAAATCAGCAGTGAGAGAAGCTGGACAGAAAGATGGATGCCTGAAGACACAACTGAGTCCAGCAGCCTGAAGCCAATCTCCACCCTAATTTATTAGCCGTGCAGGCCAATACATTTCCTTTTTGGCTTAAGCCAGGGTGAATTATTTTTTGTGATTTGCAACCTCAAGTCTTTGTCCAATACAGCAATATTGAAAAGTTTTATGTAGAAAGATGTGAATTGCAGAATTATTTATGGTAGCAAAATACTGGAAGCAACTTGAATGTCCCCAAATGGTTATAAAACATATATCCCATAATAGAATACTATGCATTCATTAAGACCGACACTACAGAACCTAGGAGTAACATGAGAAAATGGATGTTTTCCAGAAAAAGTAGAAATTCTGTATGCAGCATGATCTCACTTCTGTAAATATATACTCATAATGCAAATGCAACAACCTGTAAACGGACAGCAATCAAATGCAAATGGTGGGATTAAAAAAACAAAAAACTCTTACATTTATATTTTTTTCAGACTTCCAATTTTTCTCTAGAGTGCATTTCTTTTTAATAATCATGAAAAGGAAACATTAAGCTTTTTCAAGGTAACCAAATGAAAACAAATGACCTCTCAGATATATAAAGTGTCTTGAATCTCAAAGGTCAGAGATCACGTAAGCAAGCCCCTGCTGCCCACCAGGCATAGGGGCATGTACCTGATACCATTCTTGCCATCTGGTGTTTTCATTCATATGAGCCTAATGATGTCTCTCTAGCTACAAAGCAGAGAGTGGTTCATTTTCAAAGTGCTGACATTCCAAGACCACTAGGGCACAGGTAGCAAATTGTCTGGCTGTCTGTTATACCAAAGGACCAATAAGCCCAGGACACAGGACACACACACACACACACACACATCTGCTCGAAGCAGTTTATTTCTTGTCCCCTGAAAGGCAGGCCTTACACCAAACACAGCAGCAAACTGAAGACTATGAACGATTGCTTTGCAAAAGAATCTATGCTTTCCACAAATGCTTTTGAAACAAGCAGGGCACTCTGAGACAGCCGGGCTGTCAGAAATACACATGTTGGAGCCGAGGGCCTGTATGGACTCAGAGGGAGAGTGCACCGGCCACCGCCACACCAGATGACTGCAGTTTAGTCTTGAATCACTTTCATAAACAATTTAAAACATCTTGGTATCCTTAGCTGTTTTAATCTACATGCTACTTAGCAATTTTCTGGATCGTTGAATAAGGACTTAGTGAAATGTATTCTTGGGTTGGATTAGTTAGAAGGACACTTTCAAAGTTAACGTCCCACTCCATTTCTGATGAATTCTTAGGTTCTGAACAGCACTCACCAACCTCATTTGTTAGTTCAGCAGTTTTGAGTTACATAAAGACAAAAACATGGCAAGGGTTTTATAGCAGGAAAAGAATTTGTTTTTGTTTTCCAACATTCCTATAATTCAGACAGCAGAGGAAATCTTTGATCTGTAAGGCTTAGAAAGTCAAAGCCCCCTGAAGGCACTTTTTTTTTTTTTTTTTTTAAGAAAGAGTAAAAACAGTATTTGTAATGGAAAATGTTGTCGCTCTTAAGGACATAATGGCTTCTGCTTAGTTATAATTCATCTTGTGAATTTCAGATTTCAGCCAAGCGTTATGTCTTAGGTGCGATACAACATAACTTACTTGGAGATCGGCTTATGTTCTGATCATCTTAGAGCAGCAGTTCCCAACGTGGGGCACACGCCCCACAGGAGGGCAGTTTGATTTTTAAGGGGGGCAATTGGAGGATGAGCCATCCACGGTGAATTGTTTGCATTTCTTATGGTTCTAGGGTCCTCATATACGACATATTTATGCATTTCAGTTCTCTATTATATGTTTGGAAACTTTATTTGCTATTTTTTCATATTATATTATTATTACTATTAATATATTTTATTGATTTTTTACAGAGAGGAAGGGAGAGAGATAGAGTTAGAAATGTTGATGAGAGAGAAACATCGACCAGCCACCTCTTGCACACCCTCTACCGGGGATGTGCCCGCAACCAATGTACATGCCCTAGACAAGAATTGAACCCGGGACCTTTCAGTCCGCAGACCGACGCTCTACCGCTGAGCCAAACCGGTTTCAGCATTATATTATTATTTTTAAACAATTTCTTAGTAATTTCTTTCTCAGTACTTCAACTGTCCTTGCGTTCTTTTTTCTCTTTCATGGATGCCATGTTCTTTGGAAGCTTGGTTAGACCAAGTTAATGGCCTTTTAGGCTTTCTCCACATGAACAGGAGGTCATTTTTTTTGAATAATAAGAATTATATGTCACAGGAGGTGTGTGTGTGCGGGAGAGGGGGGCATCAGGATTTTAGAGATGCTTAGGTGGGGCATGGCCCAAACATGGTTGGGAACCACTGATCTGGAGCAATGGAAAAAACAATGGCATTAATGTAGAATTAGTGACTAGTCACAGGAGTTCTTTCTGGGGGTGAGGGGAAGGCTATCTGACAAATGTTAAGAATCACACACAGTGCATCACAAGACCCACAAATAGAGTTTTATTTTCATTCCTAGTTCGGTCAG